TAATAAACAGAGAGAGGAGTTGGGCAATCTGACGATTTTAGGTTGAGATTGTGAATTCAACATTATGTTTTAATGATGCAAATGGAGAAAGTAATATTTGAATCCACAGGACATTTCAAATTTAGAAAAAAAAAGATTGCAGTTTAGAACGTGAATTAGAATATGTTTTTTTTTCAGATAACCAACCCCTAAAAAGAGGTGTGTAAGTATGGGGTGTGTATCTGGGAAACAAACCTTGGGTGTTTCTGGACTGCCAAATGGTGACAGTTCTAGTGAATTCTCTTTGTCAGAGGAATTGTTATGGCGATGCTGGGCGAACTTCCTCTTTAGTGCTTCAGCGATAAGAGCAGCTGGGTCGCTGAGCAATGCTTTACCCTTACTGTGTCTCCTTATGACCGGTGTGCCCCCTGGTGATCTACACAGAGGAGAAGGGATTGTCAAAGAACAGTTGCAGTATAGGGTAACACAGAGAAATGAAATAAGGTCAAGAAAATGAACTAGCAGACAATAAAATAGGACCATATATTTAATATTGGTAAAACTAAATCAAAAATTCAGACAAACCCATATTGTACTACCACTTACCTCTCCACTGAACGTAATTTAACTTGATTTAAGTCCTTGAGAACATCCAGCATGGATGGGATCCCTTTAACATCTGAGCCCGGGTCCTGGGGCTTGAGTTGCCCCCTATTGAGGTCTTTCTCAGTGTTCCTGCGCTGGCGAATCAGCTCTAATACGGAAGAAGTCTTAGTGGAGGAGTCAGGGCAGGAAGGAGGTGGAGGTGGAGGTGGTGGTGGAGGTGGTGGTGGTGGAGGAGGAGGAGCACTGCGAGGCGTAGAGGTAAAAGCTGGAGGAGACAGCAAAGGAGTACCTGGTGCATTTTGGGACTCGGGCAGACCTAATAAAAAGTCGAAAGAGCACAAAAGGGTTGTTACATTTACTTGACTTGTAAAAATGACAGTGTAACGTGTTGGACATGTGCAAAGACGTTGCGACACATCAGTACAAAGAATGCGAACCTGAGCCTGGAGCGGCAGTAACAATCATTGCTATCTGAGCTCGCAGTTTGAGCAGCTCGCTCTCCAGTGCTGTGATCTTCTTCAGGGCGTCTGGATCTGTTGTCTGTCTTACGGTTCTGCCTCCTCTCTGGGCTTGATTTAGAGCTGGTCCTGGATATCTCAGCACATCCCGGTTTACAGATGTTCCCTTCTTTGGAGGCAAATGATTCCTACGGAGACCAAATTATTTTGTGTGAAGTAAGAAAGTGCAGTTTTTCCTCTGTAGTACACAAAAACTATGGCCAAATCATTCTTGAATTTTTATACACAGAAATCAGTGTTCTCCTGCTCAGACAGGCTGCCTATGAGTTACCAGTTCACAATGCGTTTTTCATATATATATATATATA